AACGAAACACACGTGAATCGAACCGAGACAGTCGAACCGAAAGGTTCGGACGGTTTTCATAAATCGTCCCATCCCTAACACAGAGTGTAAATATTGTATTACACATTCTGATTGCTATGATCACTCCACGGAAACAGTTTATTAATGTCTACATTAACTTCAAATGTCGAAACCTGCCAGAAGAATATCTCTCGCTTTTATTATTCTGTTGCGTGCAGTTTGGATTACGTACATTAAAACCTCTAACATCTCTTTGCAGCCGCTACAAACAGTAGCGGAAAACCCCCAAGAGGTGACCGGGCCAGAAGGAGCCATTGCAGGGGATGCCCAATGACAGCGTACCACTGGAGTATGAGCGACTCCGACAGCCAAGTAATATTTGAAGGCAGGATCAAAATATTGATGAACTGACAGCACAGATTAAGTTTTGAGATGGACTTTCCTCGCTGAAAAACATATTAAAACTACTTTTTACCCACTTATAACAGCAAATATAATAAAGCTGCTTTCTACCGTTGAACACAGGAGCAGAGGAAGAATCAAACGCTTCTGTACACACTTTTCTTGATGCCCTTCAGGAGACCTTAATGTGTACAAGCATCCGAAAATTTAGTAGCAGGAGCCTTCTGATTTAATCGCGTGCAGTCTGAACTTAGCAATAGAGGATTTAAAGGATCTTTTGCCAACATCTTGATGCCCGACACCCCAACAACCCCTTATGGGACTAGTGAAGTCAGGGCTGTTTTGGCGAGGTTACAGCGGATAGAAGTATTTTTCAAAGTCATCTTAGCTACATTGGTTCAAAGAGTAGAATTGATAAACAAATACATTTGCTCACCACATTGTTGATCTCTGTGAGAACCTGATGGAAGAAATCTCTCAGACTTCTCAGGTTAAGGGAGATGTCTTTTCTGGTGTGTGAAGAGTCAGATTGGTCCCAAAGGGTTGCTTTTTCAAGCCAGAATGGCATCTCCTGAACATTTGGCCCCTCTGCTGTTCGCTGGAGCTGCAGCTCAGTCATTTGGCTCCTTCCAACGGCAGATTTACTTATGAACAGAAAGAAATCCTAGCCAAGACCAACAAGAGATACAATTAAAGCTGCGAATTACATAGAAAATATAATGTGGTTTGGAGATGATCAATTCTATGTTGTAAATACCGGAGGAATAAATACATCTGTGTGCAGTAAAAACGGTTTTGGAGTTAGAAATGTGTGCAGAGTTAAGTTTTAAAAACCCAAAAGGGGGGATGTCTCATTTCAATATTAATATCTAGGGCTGGGTAAGTCCTGAATCGATTCAATTTTGATTAATACAATTCTAAATCGATTAATTTCGATCCGTTTTTACAATAATAAAAGTGGTTCAGCTGTGTTTCAAAATACTCATGTATTTTATTTTTTCCAGTCACATTAAACACAAAGTGCAAACTTGTAAATCAAACAGATTAAACTTGAGATGTGAACAAAATTGTCTCATACTGTAAGTCCAAACTTGTTTGTGAAAAGTGAAAAAGTGAATCCTCACTTGTACAAGCGGACGTTACACAGCGGGGACACAGCAGACATGCATGAGCTGCAATATCTTCACTGCACAAACCATATTTGCAGCGTTGTCTGTAACAACCACCAAGTGTTTGCTGGTCAGCCCCCTTGTCTTCAGTCAACCTATTGGCTATATTTGCAGCTGTCTGGCTTGAAGTAATCTTGAGTGCATCTTTCCTGCTTATTTGAATGTGAACGTCACAAGCGTTACTATAAAACTAATCGATCTGATTCCCTAGACATCGATTTTGCAAAAATCGAAAGGAATCAATTCAAAATCGATTAAATTCATTTTTTTACCCAGCCCTATTAATATCTCATATCGGTAAGATATAAGCAAAAAAATGTCTCAGTGATATTACTTGATCAAGCATTTACTCCACGATGTAAGATATGTTATAAAATCTGGTACGATTTGTGCCAATATTGTTTTGAGTCAATACTGGTATCGTATCAAAAATGAAAAAGTTGTATCAGGACACCCCTACCTAAAAGTACAACAAATACAATAGGGCTGCAAATAATAATTTCACTTGAGGAGTTATGGAAAGAGTAGATTGACTGAGGGTTTTTTTTTTATTTTAAATGCAAAATGTAATATATATTTTTTTTTTGTGGGGGGTGTTCTTTTTAACAATTTTGATATAATTTCGGCTCCAAGTGGGTTCCTCTGTCAGCTAAAGACGTCGAAAGAATCAATTATTAAATTAGTTGATGATTATTTCAACAATCGATTATTCCAATAAATTTTTTAAGCCCTAAAATACAACCGTGACTTGTATGAGCCTAATTGCAAAAACGTAAACTAGAAATGTGAGAGCATAATACTGATCTATTTGCTACTCAGTGTGAAAAAATTAAAGTATCAAACTAAAGATGTACTGATCCTGATATTTTCTGATCCGATCCGATACCAGTAACTGGGCTGACCCTATCAGTACCGACCCAATAACAATCCAATACTACTTTTAAAGGAATGAAGGCATAGTATACTTTTCCATCTGAGTGAAGGCATCAGCCTTTATATAAACCTTGTTTAAGTTTAAAATTTACACAGATATAAATCTATTTCATATTTTTCTAACAAAGTGTAGATTAACAGCAAAAACAAACAGGTCAAAAAATAGCTATAAAATCCTGATCGGTGCATAGTTTAAAAATAATTTAGAAACAAAAGAAAAATTATACTTTGACTATAAAAAAAGAATTTATAGAGATTACATGATTGGGTATTGTATGAACAATAATTAAAAACAGATGACTGAACATTTTACACCAATAACTTCTTATGAAGCCTACATCACTCATATCCCCTATGAAAGCAAGGGTGGCAAATAGAATAAGTGGATTGAATAAAAAAGAGGAAATAAATTGTTTTGATCTAGTTATTCTACCCTCTTATTACCAGAATTTAATGATCAAATTCCTCAGATCCATGCAATAAAATCACCCTCTGCGCGTTCAAGACTGCCTACTGAGAAATAAACAGTACATTCTTCACCTTTTATGAAGATGCAAAAAACGGCAAGGTGGGGGGGGCAGGCCCCAAGGGTGTGTATGTATGAGGATGTGTTTCATGTCTGTATGTACCTCCAGGATTGTGTGTGTGTGTGCATTTTTGTTGTGTTTTCCCATAATAACAGGTCTATGTGGGACACCACAGGCTTGTATTTTATGATCACCTCGTAACACACGATTTGTTTAATGTCCTGCCATCAGCTCCGTTGGAAAGCCCCTATGGCATGCTGATGTGAATATATAAATACTCATTTTCTGGGAGGGAAAAAAAGCCAAACCAAATTAGGAACAAACGCCTCTTGTTGACTTGTCTCTTAGGGGCTCCATTTTCAGAAAAACTGAGGCTGAACTTAAAAGAAAAACAACTCTAATGGAGTCTCATCAAGATCCCTATCCTGCAGATAGTTACAAGTACATGCAGGCACATACAGAATAAAGTGCTGTTACAAAAAGCTTTTAAAATTCTGGTTAAGAAAACAACATGTACAAACAGACTCAGCAGCAGCTCTGGAATTAGTTGAGCACATTTTGGAGAAGGAGTGAGATGTGACTGGTCAAATATTGTCTTTGAGGATGTGTTAAACTAAGTTTGTGGACTTTGGGTTTCGCAGAGTTTGCAGATGTAATTATGAGATTGTTGACATTATTTCAATATAACCAAATCAGTTAAGCATCACGTTCTGCAAATTTACTTCCATACACTTTCCTAATGTTAAACACAGTTTAAAAAGATGAGAAATGTAAACAGTTGGGCTCTGACAGAGTCCCACTAGTCAGCAAGCCAGCAACCATAGAGCCCCTATTCCAAACGCTCAGACATCCACCAAAATATACACTACCGTTCAAAAGTTTGGGATCACATTAAAATGTCCTTATTTTTAAAGGAAAAGCACTGTACTTTTCAATGAAGATAAATTTAAACTAGT